AAGAGATGGAGTGGCTGAGGACATGAGATCCAGAGAGGGAGAGGGGCTGTGTGCTAAGAACCGTGGGGGTAAGAGAGGCTTACAGGGTATACCCTTTGGTTGGGTGATGATGCATGGATGGTATGGTAACTATGGCAATGAAACGCTGTATGATAGAATGAATGTAAGGCTGTTCCCCCATGTAAACTATGACACAATAAAAAAAAAAAAAAAAAAAGCTATAGACAACATTGCGGAGAGTGAGTATTTTTGACCATTTAATTGTGCTCACGGAGTCCTGTTGTCACACTGTGGGTTAATGTGCTGGATTGCATAGTCAGCTTGAAACCCAAATTCATTGGTTCAAGCTCACCAGCTGCTCCTTGGAAACCCTATACAGGGTTGCTATGGGTCAGAACTGACTTGATGGCACTGAAAAACAATTGTGCTCACCATAAAACCTGTGCATAGACCAAGAGACAGTTGTTCAAAAAGAATAAGGGAACACTAAAAGCTTTAAAATTAGGAATAATTTGTGCCAGGTTTGTGTTTTTTCACCATGGACCACCAAAAGAACAAACAAATATGTGTAAGATGAAGTGCAGGCAGAATGCTCCTTAGAAGCCAGGGTGACCAGACTTCATCTCTCATACTTTGGACATATTATCAGGAAGGACCAGTCCCTATAGAAGGACATTGTACTTTTGAAGAATGGAAGATCCACTTTACCCTCATTGGAAAACCCACCAATGAGATGGAATGGCACAATGGCAACAACAATGAGATGAAGTGTAGCAATGGTCATAAGTTTGGAACAGGACTTATGATGTTAAGTGCCATGGAGTTGGTACCAATTCATAGTGAACCAGTATAGGGTTTCTGAGGAGTGACTAACAAGCTTGAACCACCAACCTTATGGTTCAAAATGATCTGACAGTGCAGCACATTGACCCATAGCTCCATACCAGGAGCAGGACTGGATAGTGTTAAGTTCTGTTTTGCATAAGGTCTTTTTGTGTCAGTACCAACTAAATAGCACATAACAAAAGCAAACACAATTGTGCTACTTTGAATATTTAAGGCTGCAAAGACTGGAAACTCTTTGCAGGGTTGCTATGAGTCAGAGCTGACTTGCCAACAACAGATAGAGAAAAGACTGAAGTTTTCAAAGATTTAATTTTGCTTGGATCCACAATCAATACTCATGGAAGTAGCTGTCAAAAAAATCAAACAAAATATTATATTAGGCAAATAAGTTGCACAAGACTCTTTAAAGAGTTGAAGAACAAATATTACAGTTTGAGGACTAAGGTGCCCCTGATCAAAACCATGTTATTTTCAATGGTCTTGTATTCATGTGAAATTTGGATGAAGAACAAGGAAGACCATAGAATAATTTGTGCGTTTGAGTTATAGTGCTGGAGAAGAATATTAAAAATACCATGGTGTGCCAGAAAAACATACAAATCTATGATGGAAGAAGAAAAAACTGAATGCTACTTAGAAACCAAGATGACAAAACTTTGTTTCTCATACTTAGGACATTATCAGGAGAGTCAGTTGGAGAAGGACATCATGTTTGGTAAAGTAGAAGGATAGCTGAAAAGAGGAAGGCTCTGGAGGTAGATTGGCACAGTGGCAGCAACAATGGGCTCAAACTTAGCAGTTGTGAGGATGACACAGGACCTGGCAAGTGTTTCTTTCTGTTGTTCATCGAGTTACTATATGTCAGAGTCAACCTGATGGCACCTAACGACATCAACTAGTTTTCTGTATAATCAACTATCTGAGCACTACAAAACATCTTTTTTTTTTTTGCATCTCTTCTGAAGCATTATCCTTATTTTTAATTATAACTTTCTAATTATAATGAGGGATTGGTGAAATCAAAGGGGATATCTTCATTTACTGAAATTGTGTGCTTATTTTGGTGTTTTGATTAGATTTCATTTTCTTTTTTGATTCATTTGACTCAGGTTAATTTATCATATTCTTGAAATATCTTAATGAACCATCAGTGTTTTATAAAAACTATCAGATATTGATAAGCAATAATAACAAATTTGTTTTAATGTTGTAACAGCACCAATCAATAAAGTGTACAGTATTATCAGTTATAAAATATTATTTTTTCTTTGTCATCTATATTTTCTAAATTATTTACAGAAAAACCTCCAAGCAGCAAGGTTTATTGTGGAGAATCTGACCCAGGTCAGCTTTACTCTATGAGAAATAGATAAAGGATGACATTGATTATATCAAAACATTCCTCAATTCCCCCCTTACACTAATAGCATATAATTTGGATTAATTGAATGTCCATTTTCAAGAGAGAGATTTGGGATCACAAGTCTGATATGAACCAATCAGAATATTGGACTAAAACTAATCTGAACTTCTGGTGTGGTATTGTAGGATCAGCAGTTCAAACCCAATAGTTGTTCCTAGGAATCCCTATAAAGGTTCGCTACGAGTCGGAACTGACTCAACTGCATTTAACAATAAAAAACCTAATCCAATCACTACATTTTACTCTATAAGTAACACACTAAATAGTGACCCAATCAGCACAGAGCTTTGGAACTGTATTCCATGGAACTGAGCATAGGTACTCTTTCCAGATTTCTTTAATCAAGAAGAATCCAAACTGAAAATGAAGGTAGCAGTCACATGGCTTTTATCTTAGTTTCTCAGTGAGGCTGTAATACAAGTATTAAAAATGGATGGCTTTAGCAAACAGAAATGTATTGCCTCACTATTTTAGAAGTTAAATGCTCCATTTCAGGGTGCTAGTTCTAGAAAAAAGCTCTCTGTTCAAGTTTGAAAGCAAATTTTGTTTTCAACTTGTCTACCATTTTTCTCATATGGCAATGCAGGATAAGCACCCAACTGCTAACCACAAGGTTGGTGGTTCAAACCCACCAGCCACTACTCAGAAACCCTATACAGTCACTACATCCAGTAAGAAACCATGTTACTGGACAGCACTTAACAGTAGCAGCAGTATTCTTCTCAGCAGGTAGCATCTGTCTTTCCCAGCCTGGGCTTTCTGCTCCTTACCTAATATGCTATTTGTTATGTCTCAACAAGATTCGTTTAAGACACACTCTACACTGGTATGGATTTGTAGAATAAGCACTGGATTTCAAAGCTGGATTGAAGTGCAAGTTCGGCAGTTCAAACTCACCAACTGCTCCTTGGAAATCCTACACAGGGTCACTGTGAGTTGGAACAGAGTTGATAGCACATTAATATGACCTAATTAATTTAATAAATAAATCTTTCTTTCTTTCTTT